TCCCAGTGAAACAGGCACCAGTGCTGCAAAAGTCCGGATCTAAAGCTAAAACTAAGGTAAACTAAAACCTAAAGTAACTCTAAGTAGCAGTGTTACAACTCTATTCCTAATTTTTGCATAGTTCCAAGGTGGGACGGATTCTTTTCCCCATCTCTCCATCTCCTTCCCTCGCACCTTCCTTTCCCCAGAAGTTCGTCCTAGATCTATCTATGTTACTACAAAGCAATTTTACAATTCACAACCGATTTGGTGTACTTACGCAAAAATAAGGCGAGAACCAAAAGTAATTCCATCGCGTCCTCATCAGTCGACCCGACCTTTCACAGTTAGAAATATCTGTAGTTTCAGTCAGATAGATTAGGTTGCATTTTTAACAAACATCCTGAAATGGAAACATTCTTTTTACGTTATTAAAGTAAGAAAAGCGCATAGAACGACTTCTACAACTCGACGCATAGGTTTTTTTTTCCAGTGACTAGACAAATTTTTCCGTCAACGTATGACCTAAACCTCGAAATTTTTCGATAATGCATGAAATTATCGCAGAACACATCTATGACTGGGAAAAATACTTGCATTTTTGACTGGGTAAAACACTTCCAGCGACATTTCAAATGCACTAGTCAGAACTATTTACAATTGTAAAGGTGAGACCTTTGCCTCTCCAGCCTCAATCAGAATTATAAAATACAAAAATAAAATAAATGATAAGTTATCTTTCGATGACATTCCAGCTGCACGTCAGGAAACGACGTTCCCATCGGAGATTGTATTTCCGACAGCCCCCACCAACTTTCCCGCCGTACATAGACTGAATCTAAGTGGGAAAGTTGGTAGGGGAAAAATCCCCGATGAAGGCCGTTTTGGAGACTGCAATGCGTGATATCTATGACAAGAGCATTAGTATATAAGACGGGCCATCCGTCAATTCAATGCCTGCGTTCAGCATCACTCGTCCGCGTCTACCGTCTGAGTGCCTTTCATCAACTGATCTGGTGATTCGTCGACTACGTGTCTTGTTCAATGTCAGTGTGTCATACAATAAATTATTTTTTGTCTTCGGCTCAGCCTATCATCCAACTGGTTCCTTCGATCCATCGACTTCCATACCAGAAACAGCATACATTTTACACAATTAAAGGATGAAACACAGGCTGCATACTGACTTGACCTTGTCGAATTTCTGTTCTGCTGACCTTACATTTAATCCCCCTTCATGCCGGATTGTTCATCCATTAAGATTACACTTCAAATCCCATCAGCCTTTAGCCTGTCAAAATCGCTTTCATACCCAAAAGATCCCCCCAACGTATACTTTATTATTATCTGCCTTACTGCAGTCAAAATGGTTTACGCCTTAAATCCGGAAAATAAAAAGTTGAAAAATTCGATCGGTGGTATAGTCTAGTGCAAAAATAAAAGGGCCAGATGCTCAGTAACGCAATTTTTGATTGATAAATTTATTAACCTAAACTTGAGGATACGAAAGAAGACAGGATTACCAGATAATGCAGCACTGGTCGAAAGTTGCGAATTGCGTAGCTGGAGATCCGGATTACAGCGGATCAGCAGTAGCTGCTCCTGACTGACACATCAGCAAGTATCCCTGACTGAAAGGAGGCAATTTTGGCACACAACAGTAAAATTTTCGATAAATTAAGAAGCATGTCTATAAAACAGAATAGGTAGCGATGGCATGTAGCACCTGGGACATGGGTGCATACAATGGTAAGAAGCTTTTTATCACGACGGTGTATTGCAACAACGTAAAAATGCGCAGGATGAAATGTGGAAAAATCAGTTAAGTACGAAACACTGACTCAATGAAGTATGGAATAACACAGAATTCTTTTAAAAAGTAAAAACTAAAATACAAATAGAGGGAATGATTATAATAAATCATCATACTAGCTAGACAATCAATACCTAATCCAAATTATCAATTAATCAATTTATCACGATGTTCTCCACTGCAACAACGTAAAAATATTCGCAGATGAAATGTGGGAAAATCAATTAAGTACGAAGCACTGATTCAATGCAGTATGGAATAGCGCAGAATTTTTGTTAGAAAATAATAACTAAAATACAAATAGAAGGACTGATTAGAATAAATCATCATACTAGTTAGATAACCAACAGCTAATCTAAATTATCAGTTAATCAATTATGATTACGAAAATTACTGATATTCCGAAATGAAATGAATGAGAAATTTTTTCGAAAAAAAAAATAAGAAATACACGTATTTTGAAACAATAAAAATCGATTCCTACAACAATCTCCATGCGTTATACTCGTGAATAAGTTCA